TGATGTTAGCTAAATGTTTTGGATTTTGATGGGGGTTGCATTAAATGTATATATCACTTTGGGTAATATGGCCATTTTAACTATGTTGATTCTCCCATTCCAAAACACAGATCTTTCCATTTCATTGTCATTTTCAATCTCTTTTAATAATGCTTTGTAGTTTTCGGTATATAAGTCCTTCACATCCTTTGTTAAGTTTATATGTAGGTGTTTTATTCTTTTTTTTTCAATTGCAAAAGAAATTGTTTTACCTTTAATAATATTCACGCCCTAAAATTAAGTTGTCTTTAGTTGGTTTTTGTTATAGGCAATCAGGAATCTTAAAATAAAAATCACCGTTTGTAGGGAACATAGATTCTATATAAGAAAAACAAGCAAACAAAAAACTAGGACATAAGGACCAGAAAGAGGACATTATCAGCATCTAGAACAGAATGGAGAGTTTGTGCCCACAAGCAGGAATATTATGATCAAGCTCATAAAGCCAAAGAGAAAGATAGAATAACTGGTCCTCAGAGCTGTGTCATTCCATCTGATTTTCCTTTCCTAATTCCAGTCCACAGTTTTCCTTAACATGCTTGCTACCTTTTCTTGAGGTAACTTTAAAAGGGAACTGTTTTCCTTAATGCAAAGCAATTAATTAAAAAAGTTACCAACCAGAGGGCATTTAAAGAGAAGGAGAGCTTGCTCAAGTGCATTGATGCCCTTACATTTGCCTGAGTGGGTCAATCAAATTGGATGAATAAGCCACAATCGCACGCATGCCTGATTAGCAACCTTGAAGTAAATATGATGCTAAGACACTCTCTGGGCAAAGCATATCACAAATGTGAAGATATTTTTATAAGAAGGAACATTTCCAGATTAAGATGAATGAAACATAAAATGTGTTATTTCAAATCTTGTTCATGAGGGATTCATTTTATGCACATATTTGCTTCCCAGTTTCTGCCTAATACATGCGTGAATAATACTGTTAGCTTCCTTCTGATATTAGAAAAAAAGTACAGAACAAATTTTTTTCATAAGAATCTGAATTATTTTACCAAGAGTCTATATTAATAAATAAGTAAAAAATAGAAATTTTGAATTAATGTCTCTTTTTCTCCCACATAGGTTTAGCATTTTAAAATGTCAGTTATCTGACAAAAGAATAATGTTTTGTATCTGAGGGCTCAGATAATTGCATTCAACTGTATTAAAATACAGAGCTAATTAGATTTCTAATTGTTGCAATTTCTTCTCTTCTTCTCTCGAAATCTATTTTTCCCCTCCAGTATCAATTTAAAGTTTGCCAGGGAAGAAATCATTGGGGCTGCTTGAAATAATAAATATATTTAGGCTGGACTCCTCTGTGTTCAAGATTTTATTCCAGATTTTTAAATCTGTCCTATTGAAGCATAACACACAGGCACAATTGTTGGTATTCAACTCAATGGATTTTGACAAGTCTAGCATAAATGTAACCACAAACAAGATCAAAGATAGAATAGTACTCCTCTAATCCTCCTATTGTCCATCTTCAGACACAATTTACCCTCCTCTCCAGAGTTAAGAACATTCTGTCTAAACACTTAGGTTAGTTTTGTCTGGTTTATTGTTAAATAAATGCATCCATATACTATGTATTTCTTGGTGTTTGGCTTCTTTCTCTCAATATTATGTTTGTTAGAGTCATCTGCACTTTTAAAAAATATGTTTTTTTTAATTTACTTCAGAGAGAGGGAGAGGGGTAGAGAAATAGAAACATCCATGACAGTGAAACAACAATCGGCTGCCTCCTATACACCCCCTACTGAGATCGAGCCAGCAACCCAGGTATGTGCCCTAACTGGTGACCTCCAGGTGCATGGGACAAGGCTCAACTAACTTAGTCTCACCAGCCGGGTGAGTCAGCTGCATTCTTGAATGTAATTGTAGCTTGTTTATTCTCATTGCAACTATTCATACTGCAACTACTGTCTGTCCCTCATGTGAATAGCCTACAATTTATTTCTTTATTTACTGATGATGGCCTCTTTTTTTTTATCAGGTTTTAAATCTATGTGGCTATATATACCTTTTCATTAGTTTCACATAAGGCAGAATCTCATGTTTCAGGTAGCTAGTTTTAACAGTTTTCTGAGTAGCTAAACAATTGAGCACTACCTTGTAGGATATTGATCAGATCTGACACAGATAGATATATCAATGCCCATAGTTCAGTACTTCACATGGCTGCCTCTTCAAACTATTTCTTTCCTTAAAAAAAATCTTTGATCTGAAAATTATTGATTTTTTCTGGTTGTGTTTTAAACCCAGAGGTTTGGACTTTCTTCCTCTTTCAAAGAACAGTTTCCTCTTGCTTTCTGGGGTTAAACATTTGAACCATTTTGAGTCTGTGTAGCTTGGAGTGTTTCCTTAGCAATGAGATAGTCTCTTCATTACTCCCAGTATCTCCCTGAGCCCTTCTGCTCTAGAGCTCACCTCTGGCCACTGAGTACTGGAAACTCTAGGCTGTTGCCATGTCTGCGCTGAAACTCATGAGAAGAAAATTTGGTTAAGGCCCCCTTTCACTACTACACTGTTCATTCATCAGCTCCATCAACAAATGGACTTTTAAAAATGGCTGCAGGTAGAACAATTTTAGAGAGTAATTACAATTACACAAGAAACATCTATTGAAGAGGAAAGGCTGGGTACAAATTGGCTAGGGCAGTAGGGTCTAAACTCAGACTACTTGGGTTTGAAACCACACTCAACTTTGGATAAGTAATTCTACTTTACTATGTTTCAGACTGCAGTTCTGATTTACAGGAGAAGGCAACAGAAGATTAATGATTCATAAGGAGAGGTTTCTCTCCCATGTGCCCCTGCTATTGATGAGATATGCCAGTCCTCAGTTACTTATCTTCTTCCTTGTGAAAACCTCCCTTTTTTCATGTTATTTTCCTGAAAATATTTACTCCATGAGAAACAGCACAGCCACCAACTAAACACAACTTGCTCATAACTAGGAGCTCACTTGCTAGATCCATTCTAGCACCCTGATATGTTGTTCATTTGTAATTCGTTCTCTTAGTGCCATGTAGAATGTAGGCACTCAATATCCATTGGCTGATTGGTCTATTCAGTGTTCTTCTCTCACTAATTGGTGAAACTGTATCAAAATACATAAATATCTGTTATTTGCATAATTTTAAAAATTATACGTGAATCAACAATCAAGCTACTTTTAAAATGATATAAAGTTGTAAATATGCAACTTAAATATTTTTGTTCAAATATTAATCTCACCTGTTGGTTATTAGATGGAAATACATACAGGTGAATAATCTCCTTTAAGTAGTCTGCTGTCTGGATCAGGAAATAGAAATATTTTCACAGAACATCCAAAGCAACAAATACTTATTTTTTAAACATCTACTCTGAGCTACTCACTGTGGTGGTTGCAGAGGCATAGAAAGATTAAAAGGCTAGATTCCTGACATCAACAACATGGGATATAGCTTGAGGATAAGTAATCAGTTTCATTAATTAAGTGAATCTACATGATGTCAGCCTGGTTCCCCAATGGGCTATATTTTTGCAGCAAGTCTAATATCAAGCCCTATCATATCATGATGCCAGAGCCCTAGTACTGACAATAGATATAGTTTGAGTAAACTGTAGTATGTATTTGCTAACTTCCAAGCTATGTCTCAGTTCTTTGGCCATCATGAGATACTTTCTTCCTTATGCATCTTCTGCTATTTGAAGTTGACTATGTGAATTTTGGTTACTTGCAACTCAAAGTGTCCAACACAATCAATGTAGTCAGTTTTCATTGATGAAAAATGGGTGGCTGTTTCTGTAACTGGGACTGGCTTCAGTGCTGGGAGGCAGAGCAGAATAAGGCTAGCTACTGCACCACACTCATTTAAGAAATAAAATGTCTAAGATTTGATGGAGAAAAGTGAAATATCCACAAACTTCAGAATATGTAATAGTAGGGAAAGAGTATTAACCCGTTTTCTAGTTTTTTTCAGTCATTATATTGTCTGTCATCTTTCAAGTTTCTGTTATTAATGTTGTTATGTTTGTTGCTATTATTATTATTACATTTATGGAGAACCTTTTGTATTTGTAGAACAGTGCTTTACTGCTTTGTATACTTTAATTGTTAACAAAATCTTGATGAAAAATAGTTATTGGATTTTTACTTTTTTAGATTCTATACCACATGCTTGTTGAAAGTGAGTTAAAATATTTACAATTTGAACTTCCTGTTCAAAAACAATTCCTTCTCATTCCTTTTCATATTTTACCTCCACTAATACTTAAACAACACGATGCTTTAGAAAAATATCTCCAGTGTTGTGATAATTTGTTCATCTATAACATAGGATGTTTTGGCAAATATATCTCTACCTCATTATACATTCTTTTGAGTCACTTCAGGCACCACAAGTACAAAACTGCATCAATGATCTGACTTTAATATCCCTTTTCCCAAAGGTAATGAAAAGTAGTAATCCATCACGTACTCTCATTTGCTGCCCTCACTAACTTAATTTCCCATTCCAACTTAGAATGGTTTAATTTCTTTCTTCATTGATCCCTTGTTCTTAAAGAAAATGGATTTAACTTCACTGGAGATAGGTTTTATATATTTCAATTGTCGTTTATTAACTATTTACAATTTAAACCTTTTTTCTTTCTGAACGCAAAGTACTTATTCTTTTATGTCTTGTAGTTTTTAAACATTTAATAGAACTCTATTTCATTTTACTTCTCCGCTTTTATAGTTGAGCCCAAATGTACTGTATATCACACAGGTATAATAACGACATATGGGTTAAGCTCTAGCTTTGTCCTGAAACTCTTATTGAAATAAACCATTTTTTCCTTTTAGGCTGAAACACTTTTTGTTCTTTTCAGTGCAGGTGCAGTTTGTCAACATGACTTTGTCTTCAAGGTTGATCTTTCTAAAGTTATAAGATTTGTTTTGGTGCTAACGAGTTTGCAGTTTTGATTTCTAGATTACTGTATGTCAAATTTAATCATAATGCCGTCAGCTGTTCCCATGGCTCAACTCCATTTATCCACTCCACTGATTTCTCCTTCACTCTGGCTAAGTCATCATTTCCTGCAGGGGATTTGACAGACTAATTCCAGAGGTAAGCATTTGCCTAAGTCATTATTTTTGTGTCTGTTTCATGATGTGCCTCAAATGGTTTTACATTCTTGTTTAGCTGATTTTGTTACTTACAATGTCTGTGTTTATATTTTTGCTTGCTTTAATTGTATAAAATTGTTGGGAAAAACCAAAATTCCTTGGTAAATAATAAATTTTAAATCCTCTTCTGACACATTGGTGTTGATGAAAGTAATTTTGGGGTTGTTGAAAAGAAATTTGTGGATTTTTAAATTAAATTTTATTTATTTGCTTTTCTATAATAAACATTAAGGAAAATAGAATCATGCATTTATGGTAGTCTGTGTATATTTTAAATGGTATTACTCATGACATCTACTACTAAATTATGAAGACTTTATTTCCAACAAATTGCAGCAGGTAGCATAGTTCCCCCCTCATTAAATCATCATTAGAACTTTGAGCAGACAGAAGGAAAATGCTGACTTACTGTCCCTTTAGAATATGTGTGGGTGTGTGTGTGGTGCATGTGATGAAGTGGATATTTAGTGATGCTTTGGTGCTCTACTGCTTTTGTGTTACCTTATTCTGAACAGGTAGACTACTATAGCTTACTTAGGGAATATCTAACTTAATGTTAGTGCACTCATTGTTTATAACCTGAGGCTTTAAACTTAAGGAAAGTTAGAAATGGCTTCCAACAGTTGTAAGAAGATGTAGAAGTAAGTAGTTTCTGGCCCATTGGCAGACACTTAGAATACCAGAGAGAAAGTAGAATGAAATTCTACTTACTGTAGGCACAGAATTGAGCAAGGAAGAAATTCCCAATTTCTTATTTTTTCCAAGGGTAACACAATCAGAATTGGTAGGTGGGAGACCCCTGAATTGGGTCATGGCAACTCAGTATTCTGCTAGGAAAGCGAAATATTACACAGAAATTAGCATTCCCAATAGAAAAAAAGTGTGTGTGTGTCTGTGTGTGTGTGTGTGTGTGTGTGTTTGTGTGTGTGTGTGTGTGTGTGTGTGTGTGTGTAGTGCATGTGATAAATTACATTTTAACACCCTGAAGTAGAAAGGAGACCAATCCTCAGATTCCAGGTATGAAGAGTATATTCATCAGATGCTCAGTGCATTCAGATGCTCATTCAACTGTATGTCCTGCGAGGAGGGATATAGAGAAAAACAGACAACAAGATGTTTTTTGCCATAGAGTCATAGAGATGAGAATCCAGCAGCCTAACAGCTTGTTTGAAGGTGATAATTCCCAATTTCTTATTTTTTCCAAGGGTAACACAATCAGAATTGGTAGGTGGGAGACCCCTGAATTGGGTCAGGGCAACTCAGTATTCTGCTAGGAAAGCGAAATATTACACAGAAATTAGCATTCCCAATAGAAAAAAAAGTGTGTGTGTGTGTGTGTGTGTGTGTGTGTGTGTGTGTAGTGCATGTGATGAATTACATTTTAAAACTCTGAAGTAGAAAGGAGACCAATCCTCAGTACCCAGGTATGAAGAGTATATTCATCAGATGCTCAGTGCATGCAGATGCTCAGTCAACTGTATGTCCTGTGAGGAGGGATATAGAGAAAAACAGATGACAAGATGTTTTTGCCATAGAGTCATAGAGATGAGAATCCAGCAGCCTAACAGCCTGTTCGAACATCAAGGTGCCCCTGGTGGTGGCTTTGTAACAACACTGATCCAGGCCCATGATCTGGTGTATACTCAGCTGTCCAGAACTCTTGGCCATTTTCTTCATCTTTTTTGTTGGTTCTGTGAACTATCCAATGGCTTCTACACAAACCCCTTTGTACTCGATAACCACAGTCAGTTTGGGTGCTTTACAATTTAAAAAAAACTACCCTTACACATGTAAATAACCTTCTGAATGCTCCCCTTCCTCCCTCTCATGGGCTGGCTTGGCCATCTTATTTTTATACTTGTCTCTCTGTTTTAACTGCATGTGGCAGATACTCTAATTTTGCAGCAGATCTCTTTTGTTTTGTGCTTTAAGAAAAATTATTTCTTAGTTGCAGGAGCATAATGGTTTAGCCAGGTAAACATTATCCACAATAAAGACCAGAATTCTCAGATTCCAGTACAGCTAACAGAGGTCATGTGTCTGAGTGCTAACCAATAAGAGGTGAGTAGAGTGTAGAGTGATGTGTACAACATCTGGTGCCTTCCCACAACAAGGAAGGGCTTCTCCTTGTCCTTTTCCCCACTTGCTGGAATGCCTGTGTGGCAGTGGGTCATTGTGAAAATGTGTGTGAGCCTGGCACACTAGGAGTAGTGAAGCAACAAGTTCAGCAAGCTTAGGCCTTGTTGATTTAGCAGGACAGAATTCCCATACATACTCAACTTTTGAAATGAGTTAGCAGGATACATAATAAGTGATACACAACCTCACCAAAATTTACTTCCCCACCTATTATTTCTGATGAAGACTTTCAATTCCCCTGTCTGGGTTCAATGCTTTCTTATGGGCATTAATAGTATACACTTTGTATGTATTTTTATTTGGTGCTATGTTTTAGACCTTAAGGCTCTAACTGTAAGAAGTGTACAATTTATAAGGTATCAAGAATGGCAGGAAAGCTTAAAAAGTTATGATCAATACACATATATGTCTGATATTATTTACTCCCATCCTACTATATATTTTGACATATCCTAAGTCTTTCATTTTCTAGGATGAGAGCAGGGTAACCATAATAAGAGAAACTGAAATTCCTCTGTGCAAGGAAAGGATGTGGACCAATGATGATTCTGATAGGCTCCTTACTAGCTAAGAATTACTGAGATTGTCTTCTTAGGACGATTAATAGTACTTCTCCCAGATGACATGTGTTCTTTCCTAAGCTTTTGATCAGATTATTAATGAGAACTATCCTCATACTGAAAAGGTTTTACTGCTTAATTATAAGGCCCAATCATTATTATGATAATCTGGTACTGCTGAGTTTTTAATATTATGTACATAAATTTAGGTGGTCTGGTTCCATGCATGCAGATGGAGGGGATAGTATACACAAATACTGGTGTTCTATTGGAAATTAAAACTCACTTTTTAATAAGAGGCAATCTTATTCAATTCAGGTAAGAAGATTTCCTGAATACTTAAAGATCATTATCTAATGAACATTTTACAAATGAAAAGCTCTGACAGTTTTTTTAAAATCCATATTTATTTTGGTGACAGTCTCTGATGAAGTTTGAATGTGGCAGAGAGTTTAATTTTTCAGGATAATGGTTAGCATGGATAATTCATAATAAGTTTAACAATTCAAGGCTCAAAGCTATTAAATAATTGCAACTAGATTACCAATTGACTTTACTCAAATCTAAAAGGGACTTTTAATGTACTTAATATTTTGCTGAAACATAACTCAGTCTCAATGACTTTGAAAGGGACATTAATAGTTTTCTGAAAATATAACCTTGAAAATTAAATCCATTATATATTTCTGAGATTATAGATGAAACTGCTCTGTCAAATAAGTCATTACATTAGCATAATGAGGTATGAGGGGAGATAATAAGCGAGAAACAGCAAGTAAAAGGTACCATGTACCACAATTTGCTTACATTTAACCACAATGACCTTTAAAAGCAGAGCTGAAGGGTCAGGTTTATCATCACTCTTCCAGCCTTCAAGTAATATATTTCTATTTAGCAGAACAATTTGCTGCAAATTGCTGTAGTAAGAATTATGCTAGGTCCAGCTCTCTACCTGCAAAACACACGGTTTTAGTGGGAGCAGCCCCCGAGAACAGCAGCTAGCCAGCCGGCACTTCCCTGAAGCAAAATACCTGAAGTGTGCATGGTGATTGGCAATCACTTTCCTTGAAAAAGAGCAAGCAAATCAAAAAACAGACAAGTCATTAAAAACATATCCCGGGCCCTAGCCGGTTTGGCTCAGTGGATAGAGCATCGGCCTGCGGACTGAAAGGTCCCAGGTTCCATTCTGGTCAAGGGCACATGCCCGGGTTGCGGGCTTAATCCCCAGTAGGGGGTGTGCAGGAGGCAGCTGGTCAATGATTCTCTCTCATCATTGATGTTTCTATCTTTCATTCCCTTTCCCTTCCTCTCTCTGAAATCAATAGAAATAAAAATGAATAAAAATATATTTAAAAAACAACATATCCCAGAACAAATATATGTCAAAAAAAGAAAACAGCAGAATTTAAAATGCTAAAGAACTAGCATGGTATGAATACATCTGTCACACTGAGGCTGGCGAGTGTCAATGTGCCTGGTCACCCAGTTTTGGATGTAATTTAAAAAAATATATATTTTTATTGATTTCAAAGAGGAAGAGAGAGATAGAAACATCAATGAAGAGAGAGAATCATTGACCAGCTGCCTCCTGCACGCCCCACACTGGAGATCCAGCCCGCAACCCAGGCATGTGCCCTGAGCAGGAACTGAACGGTGACCTCCTAGTTCATAGGTCGATGCTCAACCACTGAGCACACCATCTGGGCTGAATGTGATTTTTAAATGTTTGCCCAAAGAAGGTTATGCATGTAAAATCACATGAAAAAAATATTTGATCAAAGATAATAGATTAAAGTTTCCATATTCATTTCTTCATTTCTTGTATTCAAATGATTTCCCCCCCTAATTGCCTGAATATCCTTTGACTAGAGAAATTCTCCAGCTCAAAGACAGGTGAGGGAAATAATGGCCAGCAGAATGTCTGAGCCACAGCAGGCATAGGAAATATTTGTTGAGTGAGTCTTGAATGTGTGAGTACTGAGCAACTTGAAATGCAGGCCTTCCTGTTCACGTGACATTGGTTAAATAAATGATTGACAGAATCCTCTTGGACAATGATTCAAAATTCTTTTTAATATATCTTCATTCTTTAAAAATGATGTGAGGAGTGTCTTTTCTTCTTTGGTAGCTATAGTGTGCTATGCTCATCAAAATGTCAATTTTTTGTTGTTGTGTCAGTGACTTTTAAAAGAGGGCAGAATTGAAACTGATTCGGCATGCAGTAATGATGATAAGGGTAAAAGAATCCAGCGGAGTTGTTCTCCTTGATCTTTACTGGAAGGTTTTCAGTTAAGAAGCAATATTATCGCGTCTACTAAGAGCTCATGGTCAGGGGCAGAATGACTCCCACTGTGAATACATACATTGGACTTGTATGAGTGGGGTGTTCATTTTTTTTTATTAAATTTGTTCTGGAATTCAACATTGGTCCAGAGGAAGTGGAGGAGCTAAATGAAAACTTTAAAAATACAACACAGGCTGTGTGAGGTATAAGTACCTCAGGAATTAATGGGATATATGATTCAAGGGAGTTGTCACTAGGCTGCCACTCTTTTCATTAGGTCATATACCTAAGCAGCTTCAGGTAAATAAAATCAAAGTGATAATTCCATAAACTATAAAAACATTGCTACTTACAGTCTACATTAAAACATAATGATGAAATGAAATAACACAAAGGGTAAGATTTTAAAATTAGATGACACAGAATATACCCTCTTTTAAGTAGTGGTGCTAAACTGTGGCATTATACTCTATTGTGGGCTTGATCAAATAATATTGTTACAATATAGTTAAGTTATTAAACTGTTTGAACAGTCTTAATATTTTTAATTAGAATACTTCTAAGGTGGTCCATAAAATAACCCCTATAGCTGTTATGCACACTTTTATAAACTTTCTTTGATATGAAAGAAGAGATAAAGAACAAGAGCTTAATACTACTTGTGGTCTTTTTTTTTTATTATTTCTTCAACATCTTGTAATCTGGCAAATCCATAGGACTATTTGATACACACATGTAAATCGTTGGTGTTGTAAGAGAAAAAAAATTAAGGACTCCCTAGTGCTTTACGTACCTGTTGTTTCTATGCTACCATATTCAGTCAAAATGTGGACAGTGCCCAGTTCAATTTGGAACTCACTGACAAGTCAGGGTGAGATTTATCAGCTTCTTTATCTCTCTCTTTTATTGCTCCTGATGTCACTCTCTTACTATTTGAAAATTGTTAGCCTCTTTTAGGGTGAGCCAGTTGTGAGGCTAAGTTCAAATTATCATAACATTCATTGCACTTTATTGACTCTCTTTGTTAATCATTATTAAACAAAACAGAAATGTTATAAATTCACCTGATGATTTTAAACATTTTATTTGCTCTATTCTAGACTCTGTTCTCGTGCTTTCAACCACTTTTTAAACCAGCATAATGACCATATGATATAAATAAAATTACATTCGTTTTTGGTTGAAACATTTGAGAGACAGATTTATCCAAGGTCACAAAGACTAATAGACTTGGTATTGAAATTCACTTTTCTGTGGATAATGGAGGTCAAGCTTTTTTTTTTTTTTTCAACAACCACAGTGTCAGGAATAAAATGTCTTTTGAACTTTCTGATCACTTCTTTAAAACTAGAAAACCAAAAATATGAATCTTGAGAATTTCCTGTTCATTAAAAGTAAGAACAGGCAGAAAGTTGAGGGGAACATGCCCAGTTTGCAGGCTCAATCCCCACTAGGGGGCATGTAGGAGGCAGCCAATGGATATTTTGCTCTCACATCAATGTTTCTCTCTCCTTCCCCTATCTTGCTTTCTCTCTCTCTAAAAATCAGTTATGAAAATCTTTAAAAAAACCATATATTTACTGTATGGGTCAGTCATACCACTCCTATTTACATTAGAGGAATACAAACTTATGAGCAATAAAAAACTGTACATAAATGTCTATAGTACCTCTACCCCTAATTATAGTAAATTGGGAACATGTCTACATGTCTTTTTAAAAAATATGTATTTTTTTAAATTTCAGAGAGGAAGGGAGAGGGAGAGAGAAATAGAAATATTAATGAAGAGAGAGGATCATTGATCGGCTACCTCCTTCATGCCCCACACTGGGGATAGAGCCCACAACCTGGGCATGTGCCCTAATCAGGAATCGAACTATGACCTCCTGGCTCATAGGTCAATGCTCAACTACTGAGCCATGCCAGCCGGGCTCTACATGGGTTAAAGGGTAAACAAAATGTGGTAAATCTCTAAAGGAATACAACTTAGCAGTTAAGAATCATGACCACAACAAAACTCAACAAACTATTAATATGTGCAGCAACTTGAATCTAAAATGCATTTTACAGTGCTTGTTTCAGTAGCACATATACTAATATTGGAATGACACAAAGAAGATTAGCATGGCCCCTGTGCAAAAATAACACACAAATTTGTGAAGCGTTCTATACAAACTCTCCAAAAATTCATATGGAATAAAAAAAGACCCCAAATAGCTGCAGCAATCCTGAGAAAGAAGAACAAAGTAGGAGGGATCTCGATACCAGATATCAAGCTATATTATAAAGCCACTGTCCTCAAAACTGTCTGGTACTGGCACAAGAACAGACATATAGACCAATGGAACAGAACAGAGAACTTAGAAAATCGACCCAAGCCATTTTGCTCAATTAATATTTGACAAAGGAGGCAAGAGCATACACTGGAATCAAGATAATCTCTTCAATAAATGGGGCTGAGAAAATTGGACAGATACATGCAAAAAAATGAAACTAGACCACCAACTTACACCATACAAAAAATAAACTCAAAATGGCTAAAGGACATAAACTTAAGACGGGAAGCCATAAAAGTCTTAGAGAAATCCACAGGCAGCAAAATATAGACATATGTCATAGCAATATCTTTACCGATACAACTCATAGGACAATGGAAACTAAGGAGAAAATTAACAAATGGGACTACTATAAATAAAATAAAAAGCTTCTGCACAGCAAAAGAAACCATCAA